AAACTCAGGGAGGCAGTGAAGGACAGGAAGGCCTGGCGCAATATGGTTCATGGGGTCACGAAGAGTCGGACACGACTTAACGACTAAACAACAATTGTTCTTTTAATTTTGTGAAGCGACCCAGAATCATTTGAAATAGGGTAGCCTAGAAATTTAAATAAATAAGTAGATTTGGTTCACATATTACACTGAGACTTAATATAGTTTGATTTTGTCTTACTGCATTGTGGGAACTCACTCATTATGGGTTAGCGCTAACAGTTAATTAGACCATTACAGCTTGTTCCACAAAACATGGATAAAAATCCTGGTCTTCTGTTTTGGTGAAACTAGCCTTAGTATATGATGAAAAAGTCTGCTTACTTTATTTAATCTCCCCAGAGGTAGAATACTGAGGCAATGCAACCTGTGAAAGGAGATAAATTAGGAGTCATACTCTTCGTTACAGATGCATGCTATCATTATTAATATAGTTCAGATTATAAATTTACATAGGTCTTAAGGCATTACTCTTCTGAGTGTGCTCTTGCTTGTCAGAGGTATTGTCAGATGTGCAGCTGTGTCCCAAAAAGGATAATAAAATCTTATCTCTGAGGAGAACCATGAAATTTCGTTTATTAATGTTCACTTAAAAAATGGCTTAACTGCTGTGATTGGAAAGTGCATCTTCATTGCAGTCTGCTGTAATTCAGTGCAAGGTAATACAGATATCTTGTGATTGATATTCAGGTAACTGGAGGTGTCTGGAATTTCAGCCGTGTCTACTGTGATATATTTGTAACCATGGATGTGATGATGTGTACAGCCAGCATTTTAAATCTCTGTGCTATCAGCATTGACAGGTAAGATCTCAAATATGCAACAAGATATCTGGATGGAAGTGAAATATTGTCAGATTGGCCAAAAGGGGAAAATGTGTTAAATGTGAATATGTTACAGTGAAGTATAGAAAATGCAACTCATCCAAGAACTGTACACCATATTATATTTTTACTATATGAATCTTTGTCAGATTTATGCCTGCTCCTTTGCAGCTGAGAGACCATGATACTGGTTAATAAAAGTAAACAAATAAGAGGGGAAAATATATTGTACACAGATATATGTAATGTCACCAAAGCACGGTTTCTCTCTTTCTCTCTCACACACACATACACATACACATTGTATTGTCTGAGGAAGGCATTTATCTTTTTGTGCCCGAGCCATCTTTTCCACTCAAAAAACAGGCTTCATGAACTCCAGAAAAAAAAAAAAGATGGAATTGTGCCATTGCTATTGATCACTCTTCTCTGAACACAACACTTCCACAGAAAATTAGAATATTCAGAGACTGCATTTCATTAACAAAAGTGCCAGAGTTCTATCACAAGATATTCTTTAACAAACAGAAGATGCCACAATAATGTTATAAAGAAACACATATGCAAAGTACATGAAAGCTTGAGAGAAAAATCTACTTCCTTAGTTACTATCTATGTGTTTGATCCATTGGATTTTCTTATCTTTGACAGGAAGACATATCTATTTTTCTAATTTTTCATTGTTCTCCTCCACTGTGATTGCATTCATTCTGTCTTCCTTCTTTTCTTTCTCTGGTCACCTCCACCTTTTCCCGGTTTTTTCCGCCCCTTCATTTCTCATATATTTTCTGTAACAGCTACTCCATCATCCTTACTTTAGAGTTGGTTTACTTTGCAGATACACTGCAGTGGTTATGCCTGTACTCTACCAATACAACACTGGTTCCAGCTCTTGCCGAAGAGTTTCTATTATGATAACAATAGTGTGGTTGTTGGCATTTGCTGTTTCCTGCCCTCTTCTCTTTGGCTTCAATACCACAGGTAAACAACAAGAATGGATTATATACTTAATTATGAGCCACACGATTATGACTTCAAATCATTAATCAGTATTTTAAACAAAGATTACCCATTTGGGGAGAGGGGGCGAGTTGGACAGATTTAGAATTCTGCAGAAGTATCATGGTTGCTGCCAAGAAACGTTTTCCAGGAGAGCAATTACATTTGTGAAATGCCTGCTGCAGTTTGTGACCAATCACCAAGCCTTTATTGTATAAAAAGGTCTAGTGAGGCTAAAAGATAGATATGAAGTCTGCGGCTCCATAACTTCAATTTGAGATGGGATCTGTGCCTTCAGAATAAAAATATGCTCCACGCTGAAAATACACAAAAGCCTTTGCCCTGCCCAACCATTGCTGAAATGAAATAAAACCTGCTTGTCCTCATCACTATTATTTTGGCACAACAATGATTGGATGGCTTTAGAACAGGCCTGTACAACTCATAGAGGTAAAGGCACCCAACTGATATCTTACAAATAATTGCAGGCCACAAAGGAACAGCTGGCACACTGGTCAGCTGTTTGGCATCTATTGGTGTGACAGAAGCGATGGAGCTGGCAGGGTTAGTGAAGTCTGGAGGTCTTGGAGGCACTTTGCAGCATGTCTTTTGGGGCAGAGGTGGCTGTGAAAAACTAAGTAGTGGTGGCCGTTCCTTCTTGGTAGCGGCAACGTTTGGCATCAGGGAATTAGTTGAGTTTTCAAAAAATGCCAGCAGGCCACACAAGGCTGCTTGACAGGTCACCTGTGTCCCATGGACTGTGTGTTGCTCTAGAGGTTCTTAGTGGGGAAATGACCATAATTACTCCCCATACATTTAAAATGTCTAGACTACTTACAAAACCTCCACACAACATGCATAGAGAGGGACCCTGCTTTGTTTTCCTTGCCCATAGAGTGGTGCCTGTTTTATCCTTCCCAAGGTTACTCCATCACCTCCAACTGTCATATAATCAGCGACAGTTGATGGCCACTAAAGCTGGAGATCCAAAGTCAGAGTCACTGTGGATGGACTCAAAGTACATATTGGTAAAACTAGGGATGTGTAGATTTTCTACTCATCATTCCCTTTGGTAAAGCTCAAAATCACTAAACAATATACACAGGGAACAGGAAAGCATCTGACAACCTTTCTGAGATATACCTTCTCACACAAAGTAGCATCATACTGAGAAACAGTTTGTTTGCCAAATGCATCACGAAAAGAGCATTTTCTTAACCCATACTTCCCTTCTTCATGAATGAGCCAAAGTTATTAATTTAAGGTCCAATTTATGGTCCAACCACAACTTCGATTTGTATGATTATAGACCCATAAACTACTATAGCTGGACTTTATAATCCACTAAACAATGGTTGTTGTTTCAGAGTGTTTCTTTCTGTGTTTTCTTTTATTCTCAGGTGATCCCAATATTTGCTCCATCTCTAATCCTGATTTTATTATCTATTCTTCTGTGGTATCCTTTTATATTCCATTCCTGGTGACTCTTATGCTCTATATCCGGATTTACATGGTTCTGAGGCAAAGACAGAGGAAGCGAATCCTCACCAGACAAGGCAGCCATAGTGTCAAAGCCTATTGTAAACAGCAAGTATGATTTACTTTTACATTATGTAAGATAATTTAAGATTAATTTCTTAATGTAAGAAATTTGCCCATTTCTCCATCTTAGAAAGGTTATTAAACCTATCTGCCTGCTTAGATATAGTTTTCTCACAGTGGTCTGTCCACTCTTCAACACGAGAATACATTGTATTTACTCTAGCATATTTCTTCCCACACAATTCTTTCAGTGTGTTGCATTCTACAGAGTCTATCTGTGTGCGCCTTTTAATGTCAGCATGGGTTTATGAACATGCATTAGTCATTGATTAATAATATACAGTGCTCATTCCTCTCCTACCCCAACAAGTGCATGCTCAGAGTGAGTGATTCTGTGCATACTATGGCTTAATGCTATGCAGGAGGGCATATAAAGCCATGTGTAAACAATGTTTATCCAGAGGTACTCAGTAGGTTGCAGAGAAAAAAATGGCAAGACAGGATTTATATATTATTACTTCTGGTTGCTACAGTAGAACTTTCTATTATGTTGGAGCAAATAATAATTTTTCAGAGTCAAAGAAAAACTGGTATACACTAATCACATGTAACAGAATCTGTTGATTTAAAAAAAATTTTTAGATCCCACTGCATTTACTTTATGTCAGAAGAAGAATAGATGGAAGGGGTTACTTCATTCATTCATTCATTCATTCATTCATTCATTCATTCATTCATTCAATTTATAGATCTGCACATTTCAACATATGACTCTGGGAGGCTCACAATTAAAAACAATATAAAAACCTCAAAACAATGAAGCCTTATATAAACCTTATAACAACATTCATAGCCGAGGTAGTCACATCCATCCATAACAATCAATACAGCCACTGCACAGGCTCTACCATACTCCAAGTCCCCATATCTGTTGGCAAAACCATGTCTTCAAGGCCTTGTGAAAAGCCATCAGGGTCCTCTCTATATCCTATACCCTTTCTACATTCCTAGCTTTTCTACCCAGATTGGGGTGGGGGGGAAGGTAAGGACACCTCTAGTCAAATAACCTTTCCAGGTTTTAAAAAAAAACTATAAATGTCTGTAAAATGTGTTATGAAAAGAGGTATCTGGGATGGAAGGCATGAACAAGGATGCTCCTATTATTTACAAATAACCCACCTATCTCCCCACCCCCCCGACCCCACTTGTCAGTTATTTCTAGTGATCTTATAGCAGGGTTCTCAAATTTTCTGGTGCTGTGGCTCCCTAAAATAATACATGAATTGGTGTGACACATCCTCCCCTCAGGAACGCTGCTGCTACTACTACTATTGATAATATTTATATGGATATCAATAGCTATTGGAAGTACTAGACCATGTCCAATTGTGTCTATATCCAATTTTCACACTGCACTCTAGAAGCTCCAGGCAACAAGACCTGTCAACTCCAATCAGCTGGGTGGGGATGATGGCATCTGAACTGCTCCCACTTCTGCTGGAAGCAAGATCATTGAGGAGAAAGCTGCCACTGAAGTCTTGCTCCTAGAAAGGCCAGCTGGCCTCCAGTGGCATGCCATCTGGTGAAGGTGCTTCTGAGAAATGGTGTGCTTTGCCTGCCCATATTGCAGATGCCCCAAAGGGTAGGTGGGCAGCCAACTAGGCTCTCCCTCTGTGTGGGTGGGTCCAAACTGGATGGCAGCAGCTGGCTTGACAATGGCAGTAGAAGTGTCTGAGGGATTGTTTCATTTTAACCAGTGGCTCCCCAAAGTGGTGAGCTTGGTATTGTGCTCTCTTCTAGGTTCTAAGGCAGTGTTTCTCAACCTTGGGAACTTTCAGATGTGTGAACTTCAGCTCCCAGAATTCCCCAGCCAGCCATGCTGGCTGGGGAATTCTGG